TCGGCGACTCGGGTCAGACTTATGATCAGAAATGAGCAAAAATCTGTTGATTTGCCGAGATTCCATGTCAAAGTGAAGCGCAAATATCCTATCTCAAAGTCCCAGGTTCAAACGCCCATCTCACGAACTTGGCCACTTCAGCAGTTCGCGCCTTCGCGACTTGGGCACTTATGTATCTCGGTTTGACTCCTATACTCCGGCACTTCATAACTTGACAACTTGGCAACTTCACCACTTCACCGGTTGGGCACATCAGTACTTGACATTTTCGGCACTTCAGGACTTCGAACTCGTGGTTGAGGAACTCTGGACCTTCGTCCCCACCCGCTGACACGCCTCTGGACCAACAGCTTCTTTGGGATGATAAGATGAATGGCAAACGCCGTGTGGGGCCGCCGCTGCGTGAATTCAATGAGTTTATGCCATTTCATATCCAACTTGTGCCTCCCTCGGCACACCACCACCACTTAGACTCGTCTCTAGAGCTTAGATCCATCGCAATCTAGATGTGAATGAGGGTTCTTAGCGGGTGGGAAGACCATGAGGCGGACGACGGACGTGTGCGCTGCCGCCGTCGCGTCATATACTTGAGTTCATGTCATACCTCCCTCCACCTCCACTCATCTCTAGAGCCTCAATCCGCTGGAAGCTGTATATCTTTGGGGGTTCTAAATGCGTAGAAAAGTACTAGGAATCGGGTGCACGTCGAATGTGTGCGCTGCCACCGTCGCGTGGTATTGGTGCGTTCTTGCTATACCTCCTTCCCCAGCCCATTTTTTCCTCACCACCACCCCTCCTCATTTCTAGAGCTCGAAACCATCAGAACGCGGATTTGAACGGGGACTCGAAATAAGTGTAGAGATGATTAGATGCACGACGAACGCGTGCACCGTTACTGTTGCAGTGGTACTCGTGAGTACTTGCTACACCTCCTGTCGTCATACCTCATTTTCACCGACACCACTCTTATTCAGCTGTAGAGCTCGGATCCATTGAACCGTGGACTCACTTGGGGGTCTTAAAGTTGCAAGTGTATTATGGAATACACGACGGGCAAGATCGCTGCTCCCATTGTATGCCAGCAGTGAGTATGCCTTACATCTCCTCTCCAGAGCTCACTGGGAAGCAAGGGTAGGTACGACCACGTGGATAGAAAGAAAGCAGGTGTCTTGACTTTTACGTACGGACTCACGAGCCTGAATGGGAGAGACTGATCAGGAAAGAAACTATTATTGGGACAAATTCAAGGGCCCCAAGAATCGGTACTACAGTAGCCTACGTCAGAGTTTGATGATTATAGTCTAGTACGTACGCATAGAGAGTCGTCGAAACACCATTTTCGATAGCGATAGGATATTAGGAGCGAGAAACTGATATAACCGAAAGCAGTACTAGTAGTACTACGTGTAGTACTCAGCCCATTCTCAAGGCGGCGAACTGGAAGTAAACGGAGTGTGGAACCTGAAGGCCTGACTGTACCCACAGTTACCACCACCTTTGACGAAGAACCTCCTGCCATGGGACACAGATTCTTGAACCAAGTTGCCAGAACTTGCCTAGCTCATTCCACGCTGAAGAACATCCATAAGACTCTACCACACCCGGTGTCGCAGGGGATCTTCCGTGGAATCTCTCCCTGCCTGAGTGTCGGCTCTTGTGGCAGAACGACACACATCCTTTTCGCGTTGTGAGTACTTGAAGTTTTCATGTTCGTTCTGGTACTGGCGTCCGTTCAAAGCAGCCACTCCCTCCACAGTTGGTCTTCCGGAGTCTACGCACCAGCCTTCGCAAACCAGTGGGAGATACCTGGTTCCCACCTATGTTTCACTACGGCTACGCCTTCAACGCCGACAAGATCAAGCAGCTCCCCGTTTATCATGCGACCACGCACCCGGACATGCACGCCCACACAATCGATATCCGGTTGTTCATCCAGGAGATCATGTACACGGGCTACATAAGGTGGCGGCACCGAACTGCTTGCACGAAGGCTTCTCTGCTAGCAGCGTTGACAAACTAATTAGGATATGCTCGATTGCGACGAACTACTATCCGTGGGTAGAGGTGGATCGAATGAAAGAGATAGACAAGCTTCTGGGCCCAGTGTTGGGCAAACCGAGGTGGTTCGTAGACGCAGATCGTAGTTGATGGAAATACGAGAGGTTCTCTAACACCGACGACTTTCCTATCTCTTATGTGTCCACTCCGTACAAGTACTACGTTGCAACAGGAGCCTTGAGGCGAGGAGAAGGGCCTCGTCCTGTTCCTCCCTTCGACATGTAGCTACCATTTGGCTGTTAGCCCTCTAGTATGGATTTAGTGTTGGTGGTCAAAAGCCATGTAGAATCAGAGTAGCGAACATCTATACAATATTCATCTACACAAGTACATTGCATACTAACCAACCCCTCAGTCTCACATCCTGTCCAACGGCCTCAAACTCAACAACCTCATCGACGCCGCCAACACCTCCCTCGCACACTCATACAACCACAACCTCGCCACCGCCTTCTCCTTATCCTCCTCTCCCTTCACAACCACCGTCTCCCACGCACTGCTAATTGCATGACTCAACCTAAACGCAAACGTCACGACCCCGCTGGGCTCATGCGTCTTCAGCGCCACCTTCACGACGTCGGGGTATGAGCCAAGTAGGACGGCGATGTCCCTGGCGTGTTGCGATGCGACGAGGGTGGCGATGTCGATTTGGGACGGGGGAGGGAGGGGGAGCAGGTGTGGGACTTTTCGGCCGATGGAGGTGAGGCGGACGTGTGCGTATTGGAGGTAGGGGCCGGTGTCGCCTTCGAAAGACTTCATGCGGTCCCAGTTGAAGGTGTAGTTGTTGATCCTGGGGGATGTTGTCAGTAACGGAGCGAGTAAACGTGTAGAGAGGAAGAAGGTGCATATATGCGGCGAGGGAGATCGGATACGCATACCAGCAGGAAAAGGGAACACGGTGAACCCAAAGGAGGAAAACTGGAAGAACGAAGGCCCATAGACACACTGAGCGAACAAAAACCCACCTCTTCGCCGCCATATCCTGAATCTTCACACCGCTAATCCCCACCTCCCTACTAACCGTCTCCGGATCCTCCACCGCCTTATACTTCTCCTCGTTCTTCATCATCTGCTCCAACATCACCTGCGACGCCTCCTTGATGATCTGATCCAGGAACACCACCGTGCCTTTTCGCGTAGACATACCCTGGACGAGACCGTAGTTGACGTGCTGGCAGGACTTGGCCCAGGGGAAGTCGAGGAGTTCGAGGGTTTTGAGGAATTGGGCGCAGTGGAGGTCTTGTTGGGAGGAGATGACGTAGATCATCTTGTCAAAAGCGTACTTCTCGTAACGAGCGATGGCGCCGCCGATGTCGCGGGTGAGGTAGATGGACGTGCCGTCTGTGAACGAATAGATGAACTCAGTGAGAGACTAGAAAGTAAGAACGACAAGCACGCACCCTTCTTCCTCACAACCGCACTCCCCAACTTGTACTTCTCCAGATCGATAATCTTCGCGCCCTCCTTATCGCTCACCAACCCCATCTCCTCCAGCCGGTTGATAGCATAATCGATCTTCTCCTTCGGCACCATGCTCTCCCCATTATACACGTCGAACTTGACGTTCAACCGCTCGTACTCCTCCGCGTACTTCTTCACGCTCAGCTCCCGCCACACGCGCCAGTTCTTCAGCGCGGCCTCGTCGCCATCTTCCATGCGCTTGAACCAGGCGGCGGCGGACTCCTTCACGGTGGGGTCGGATTCGGCGTCTTTGTTGATTTGGACGTAGATCTCGAAGAGGTGGTGGATGGGGTTGGCCTCGAGACGTTCTTGAGAGCCGTATTTCTCGAATCCGGTAGCGATCAGGCCGAACTGCGTACAACGTCAGCAGAGAGCATGGAATAAGAGAAGAGGAGAAACTGACCTGAGTGCCCCAGTCACCGAGGTAGTTCATGGAGATGACGTCCCATCCACAAGACTTGTACACGTTCGCGAGGAAAGCGCCGATGATGGTACTTCGGAGGTGACCGACGTGGAAGGACTTGGCGATGTTCGGCGAGGAGTACTCAATGATGAGCTTCTTCCCTTTGCCGAATTGGTTCGTACCGTATCGTTTTTGCGCGAGGTTCAGCTCGTCTGAGGGGCCGTTTGGAGAGGAGGTGGATGCGGAGGGGGTAGAGGAGGAATCGCTGGCGGTGGATGGGAGGGAGGAGAGCTCGGTGACCTGGGTGAGGACGGTGCGGATGAGGGTGTCGGTGTTGAGATAAAAGTGAAGCATGGCTCTGTCGACGGTGATGCTTGCTACGTATTCGTCTGGTGTGAACTAGCGCAGGCCATGAGAAGACTATAGGAAGGCAGCTTGAAACCGTGACAACTCACCGCCTCCACGACCTTCTTCGCATGCTCGTCCACCTTTCCTCCTAGCCTGAATCTCGGCAACGCGACAGTAAAGTCTACGCCCTTCTTTCCATAATCCACACCCTCGTACGCCTTCTCAACAGTGAGCCCTGGTAGCGCATCCGAGAGTCGCTTCGCGATGGCTATCCGGAAGTGGTCGAACATGCACGACGACGCATCGGTCTCGAGTACGTCTGGAAGAGGAGGAAGGTGGGACGCGAAAGCGGGTACTTTTGAGGAGGTGGCAGTAGATGTTGACATGGTTCGTAGTGTTCGTCTTCTCGAGAGATGAGGTGTGTGAAGCAGAGGTGGTGGTAACGTCGGTATCCGAGTTGACGCGACAGAAAACGGGCGTCGTTGGTGTGTTACCGCTCTCAGCAAAGGAACAGAGAGCTGGTATAGCAGATTGCTTTCCAAACGGCTAGAAGGATGGCGGGAGGGATGAAGACGAGATGAGAAAAGATTAGAGATCTTTTTGACTCGATAACTTTGCATGAGTGATCGAGTCAGTGTCCAGGACTGGAGTTAGTGATCATGAGAGAGGGTGCACCCGTGGGTGGCGACATTTCTTAAACATACATTATTTTTGCTCCTCCTTCTCAACAGGCGTCTTAGCAAAGTGGTTACTGCGACAGATTCGAATTAAATACTTATCTGTTCCTCTTCGAGGGCGCAAGTTCGAATCTTGCAGACGTCGACCTAACGAGCCGATATTTTTTGGCTCGTGGTTATCTCCTCTCCACTGGCTGGCTGTTGGCTGGCTGGGCAGACCAGAGACCGTAGACGTATTTTTCCGCCCATAAACGCCTGCTGCCGTATGCACGCACTTCGCTATCACTACACATACCGGAAGTCCTCAACACTCCAAGACGCGATCCATCGAATCGCGTTACTGACCGGCGTACATCAGATCTTCCCGAGTTCAGGTATACCTTCTTCCACTGTTTGTTCGGTATTTATCGTTTTGGGTCGCTTGTATGAAGTCCTATCACCCTGACAAAGAGAACTTCGCAATGCTTCATTCAGAGTTGGAGCCATGAGAGACTACACAGCGAGCGCTGCTCCATATGCGCTAGTACTGCTACAATTCCAGCGTGCAAAGCGAGCGTCGAGAAAGGCTGGAAGCAATATTAATATGCAGACCATGCATCGGTGTCAGCTATGCGTACAGAACAAATAGCTACAAGCGACGAACACTACAACGACTGCGCATTGATAATTGCCTCGACCTCTGCATCAATCGCGGCAAACTTCCCCGGGATGGTATCGAGATGCTCGGCGATGAACTCGGTGCTGCGATGAACGACTGATTGCGCCTTGGGCTGATGCTTGTAGCGCATCTGCAACTCAGGTTAGCTGGGAACCGAGGGATGATTGACATACACGCACCATGACCTGCTCAACACTATCAGACAAAAAACGGTCCTAGAAGATCATCAAGTTAATAACCACATATGAAGAGAAAACATCACGATGCTCACAGGCTTGACAGAAGAATATATTCCTTGGCTTTGCTGAGTTCGATCCATAAGATACTGGTGTACCCGCTTGGCCTCGTGGTACGTCGCGTATCCTGGGCAGCGAGAGTTTGTGACCATATGTGCTTGAACGTCAAATATCCGGTTCCCTCTGAAATGGGCTGTTAGAATGAAGCAAACGAGACATGAGAAACAGCGTACGAAAAATCCCCCGAAGGACACGACATCTCGCGTTTCGGCGACTTCTCGGCGATCTTCACAATCTTGCGCTCAAACTCCTTCCACGCCGTGTGCTGCGTTTTTCTGTGCACGATGGTTCAGTATCCCGTTGAGATTGAACGAATCTGTAGTTACTCGTGTTTCAGGAGGTTGCCGACCGTGGTTACGAGGGTATCGCACATCCTGCACTTGAACCTCTGCCGGGTCTTCCCGTCCTCGTCGACAATGGTGATTGGGGATCGAAACTCTTTTGCATCGTAGATCGGCTGGAGCAGTCTGGCCAAGAATGACCTCCGTAAGTCCACCATGTTGGCAACCGGTGCGTGAGATTGAGAGTTGGATCCTGGTGCATCCGTTGATGAGGTGTTCGATGACGACGTGGCGGATGGTAGCGTGATGGAGGCAGAAGATGATGCAACGTTCGGCGAAGCGCTGGAGGTCGACGTCGATGGACGAGAGCCGGACGCGACTGCGCCTGACGCACGGTCAAGTGGGTTGGCGAGATCGCTGGTGTTGATCCTGATTGTCGGGTGGGAGTGCTTCCCGGGAACACGCTGCGAGTTCTGGAGGCGCTCGCGATGCCTCTTCTCATACGCGTCGATCTCGCGGTTGTCGGCCTGATCTTCTCTTGCTTTTAACTCCGCACTGACTCCATTGAACACGTCGTGCTGCTTCAACGTTTTCGGCAGCGTCTCTGCAAGATGGTCGTATTAGTAGGGCGAATCAGGACCACGCACAAGAAAAAACGTACTCCCGGCGGCGTTTGCTGCCTTCTCCGTCTCGAGAATCACCAACCTGATGAGATTTTGACTGAAAGTGTCGGTGAGATCAGCAGAGTCTTCGTCGTCGTCTTCCATCTCAAGATTGGCAACGTCATTATCCAACGCTTGCTCGTCTTCGGGCGACATGATACCGGTGATCGCAAGCGGGTTGATATGACGGCTAAGACGCGGTTCTGTTGCCACTGAAGAATGGAGAAAGGCGTGAGAAGACGACTCACAGAAGGGTATAACAGAAGATACTACTGACCTTGGATCATCTTCTCTTTGTCGAAGAAGTCCATGAGCTGCGCGATGTAACGCGTGCGCTCGTTCAGCGTTCCGATTCGACGACCACTCTTAGCATCGGCATTGCGACGAGACTTCTCCGCTCTTGTGGCAGTCTGGCCACCCGCTTGCTTGATCCTTTTTTTCTTCACCTCCAACGCGATGATCTCTGGAAGCAACTAGGAGACTTCTCTCAGTCAGAGAATACGAGCCGTCAGTGTCGAACATACCTCTGCGAAACGAGCCCTCGACGATGACGCCTTCATCAGCAGGATACCCTTCTCGACCTTCTTGGAGAGAGCGTTGACCAAAGCGACTTTAGGTGACTCGTTCATGGCAAGGTACTTGGATTCCTCCACCGGGAAGTCTATCATATTCCGCCACTCGACCCATGCTCGACTTTGCTCACGCTTGACGGCCAAGTACTGCGGGTTAGTCTGGCACGAAGCGTGTCAGTACGAGATCATTAAAACAGGTCCACAATAATATAAGACACGCAATATCACCTTCATGTCCTCCGCGTTCTGAAGTAGAACCTTCTTCATCCCTTCGTCGACGCCGTCAATTTTCCCCTGGAGATAGACCATCGCCTCGATCGCTGCGCTGTCTCGCAGTATCTTCTGTTCCTGCTCTTTCTGGACAATTCGCAATTTAGTCAGCAGTGCGCAAGGAACACGAGGGCGATGACGCACGGTATAACCCTGCTTCGCACCGAACACATGTTTGACCCAGTCTTCTAAGCGTGTATTCCGGCTGTATGAACGATTCAAGACGGTGTTGGCGGGACTATGGTTCAGCAGAAGCTGAGTCTTTGCGGCTCCGAGATACGCATGATACTAGGCTTGATTTAGATAGGATCATCAAACGAGATGAAATGAGCGTACGATGTCTGCTGCACCACGTCGAAGACAATATGCACCATCGCAGGGGAGACCGCAGGCCTGACAGACCTCAGAAAACGCATGACTGATACCGGTGGCCATCAAGGGACTGGTGCTGGTTGTCAGGTTTTTCACGATCCCACGCGACGTCGCGGCAATAAACCTGGCTCAAAAGTCAGATATCTTAAAGCAACATAACCCACGTCGCACTCACAAGGGCAAATCGCGAAATTCCTGTAGAATCTCAATCTCCGCGGGAAGGTCTGACCCAAACAGCGACTCGGGGTTCTGCACATAACGTAAGTTGAAATCAAACCACACTCCGACGCAAAACCGTACCGAAAACTTATTCGGAAGAGCGCCCCGGGCTGACAGCATGGCGTAAAACCACATCGTAGGGTCGAAAATCAGGAGTGACGGATCGTCCAAGCTGACCATGCTAAACTCGGTGCTGTGACCGACCGCGATGTTATAACCCTAAGGCAAAGCGGTTAATGACAAGAGGGGTTCACCCAGGTCAGAACGGACATACCTTCCAGTTCCTCACATCAAAGACAATCTCCAGGCGGCCGTCACCAAGCGGGTAGATTCGTACATCTCCGCACTTGGGATACTGGAAAGCAAGGAAAGATCAATCAACACCTCGCCGCAACGTTGAGAGAGAACTACGCACCTGTCCTAGGCGAACATACTCTATCGAATAGGGACCCATACTTGAGGGCCTGAGCGCATGGAAGAACCCTTGCAGGGTAATGGAACCGAGCTGTAAGCTCCCGAATCGAGACACCCCGTTCTCAGAACGACCCAGCAGCTCGCGCAGTATCATGAGGACCTCGGTAGTCTGGTAAAACAGTTTCTTGTTACGGTGGCGATCCAACTTGTGCTCTCGGATCACTGCAACACGGTCAGCGCTAGCCGGGAAACAAACCCACGACAAGAGGCCAACTCACAAGCCACGACGAGATTATGCAGCGTCTGGTACAGATCGTTTTGGGCTAGAATTCTGAGCCCAACTCGGTTTCCGGCCGAGTCCAGAGTACACCTGCAGCACAACGTCAGATAGAAGTTTGGAATAGATCGTGCAAAGAGAGCATACTTGAGGATGGAGTGTGTAAGCTGTTGATGCCTTGCAATGAGAGTAAACGCTTTGGGAGGTTCTCCGTCTTTGCCCTTTGTGTTTTCCACCTAACCGCATGTAAGTATGTACGCTTAGAGAACAGGAAACGCAGCGAGCTCACATAGTAGACAAGATACATGGGCGCGCAGGTTTCGATCAACGCCGGATCGTTCCACACGTCCATCGGATCGGTCAAGTTCCTTCCGTGCTCGTTGGCCCAGGTGAAAGTGAAGGCGGTAAAGTCGTTCAACGTCGCTAGCCGGTTACGTCGAGTGCCTGAACCTTCAGGAGTCTCGCCGCCGTGCTCCTGTATGAACTTGTCATGCGCCGCGTCCATCTCCTCAACCGCCTGGTTCATCACATAGGCCGGGACCTCCAAGCCAGGATGCGTAGACTGCCACTCCGCGATCTTCCTCCCGTACATGTTCTTTTGCGTTTTGATGAGTCGTAACGCCATGGCGGCTTTGTGTGCCGGATCAGAGGGGGGCAACGGTACCAAACGGCGCGGGGGCGGCAAGGTGTGATCGGGACGAGGTTGTTCACCGAGATTGGAGGTATCTGAAGCGGCAGTCTCCTCGCTGATTCGCATCTGCGCCGTCTGGATAGCGTTGCGACTTGGGCCGCCATGTTGTCCTACATAGGCTTGATTCTCTCGAAGGGCAGCGTGTGGATGACTCTGTAGACGCATCTGCTCGCGAAACTGATGGTGAGTCGAAAGATTGGGATCGTCGCGGGCTAGCGCATCTCGAGCGTTCCTGTTGCTGAAGGGGGTTGGCGCACTAGACATGGTCGAGAAAGAGATGGGAAGATGGATATATTTGGGGAGAGAAGAAAAGGAGAATGGAGACGATGGAGGGGAGACGATGGGGGGGGGGAGACGATGGGGGAGAGAAACGATGGGGTAGGAGATGGTGGGAGTAGGAGTTAAAGGGAAACGAGGAAAATGCCAGGCTGCT